TTTTTTTTTCTTTACAGCACACATTCCAGGCTCATCACCGAATGCTCTTTCATGGCAAACATCTTACATGACATTTTCCTCCAATAAAAGGATGTTCAGTCTACACTGAAAATATATTATTTAAGTGTTGCCATCTTCCTCAATTATCTCAGCTCGATCTTTCTGGGTAACTTGCTGCAGCTTCTCCATGAGCACTTGCTGTTTTATCTTACACTTTAATAGTTATGGAGATAACTTCTTTCCATAAACCTCATGAATGTTGCTCTGCTACCTTTAAACCTTTCTTCTATAGCTACCTCACCTCTCTTAGCTTTCACAGAATTGAAAAGAATTAGGGCCTTACTCTGGATTTAGTTTTGACTTAAGGGAATACCGTGGCTGGTTTGATCTTCAATTGAGATCACTGAACCCTTCTCCTTATCAGCAATAAGGCTTTATTTGTTTTTTTATCATTTATGTATTCAGTGGAATAGTTCTTTTAGTTTCTTTCAAGAATTTTTCCTTTGCATTCACAATTGGCTCTTTGGCACAAGAGGTCTAGCTTTTGGCCTGTCTTGGCTTTCAACATTCCTTCCTCACTAAGCTTTATCATTTCTAGCTTTTGATTTAAAGTGAGAAACGTGTGACTCTTTTTTACTGAACACTTGTAGAGTTGTTTATTGGCCTAAGTTCAATACTGTTGTGCCTTAGGGACCAGGGAGCCTAGGAGAGGAAGAGAGGGGAATGGCCAGGTCAGGGGAACAGTCAGAATGTACACATTTATGGATTAAATTTCTATCTGATATGGGTATGGTTCAAAGTGCCCCCAAATAATTATACCAGTGACACCAAGATCCCTGATCACAGAGCACTATAACAAATATAAGAATGAAAAAGTCTGAAATGTTGTGAAAATTACCAAAATGTACATAGAAATCCTAAATGAAGAAGAGAGAGAAAGAAAAGAAAGGAAAATAGAAATATTAAGAGCACAAGCTGTTGGAAAAATGGCACTGACAGACTTGCTTGATGCAGGGTGTCCACAAACCTTGTGAAAAAAAGGTGAAGCCTAATAAAGGTCTGCCTATATAAAACTGGATATAGAGGCTTGACAGTGAAGAGCCTAAAGCTTTAGTTTCATTAGCTTCATGGTGAATCCATCTATAAGTGGGAATCACTTCTAACTTTTGAATATCCTTTCTCAAGTCATCCTGGAACATCCTCTTAGCATAGACTTCTGCTGGAGTCACCAGTCTGGAGAACGAGAAACCCCCAGTGCCAAGAGGGCATACCGAAACAGAAGCCAAGCAATTTGTGTATTTTAGTTCTTAAAACAAAAACAAACAAAAATAATGACAAATTTCCAAACTTATGATGGGCCTTTTTTTTTTTTTTTGATAGTAGAACATATTAATTTACTGGAGGGACATTTACAAGAAAAGCATTAAGAAAATAATAATCTACTGCCTAAAAATAACTAGTATAAACATTTTAATGTGTTTTCATGAGGCCATGTTATTATTTATATCAGGCATTTCAGGTGTGTGACAGTTTCACCTCACTATTATGGTCACTGACCAAAAGCCCTCTTCCAATCTGTAACACCTGGGGTCCCCATTCCCTCTCCTGACTCAGACACTCCTTTGACACTTCTCTTTTCTCTTCTTCCCATGTTGACATCAGCAGTTCAGAAATACTAAGCCCTCTGCATTGGCAGGAGATGTATTAATTCCCAAACTAGAACTCTAGATTAAGTTAGTGTTCATAATTTTAGTGCTACAAATTTTGATGAGATTCTACAGTAAGTGTTAAAAGCACAGAAGATATATTCAACTATACTTTCTCTACTTACTTAGGAACTCCACAGTAATGGAGGTAGCCGGAATCAAACATTTTGCTTACATGGGTATCTAAGCTTACGTAGAATGACTTTTGTCCAGTAGTTTTTCTTAACATATTATTCGAGTGTGATAGTGGCCCAGATCACAGACATGGAGTAAGATACATTTGACCTTAAATCTGGACTTTGGTATTTATTAATCATGTGACCTTGGACAGCAAGCTTAGATAATATTCCCACTGAAGTTATCCTATTAATTTATACACATTTTCTTACCTGCCATCTTATTTTTGAAATATATTAATCTAATTGTCTCCAACCCTAAAAGATTTAATGATCCTTCATTGTTTAAGGGCCGAACCTAAAATAAAGAAAAAATAAAATATTTCAATAAAACTTTTAAAAATCAAGTCATAAAACTTTTGACCTACTTATAAAGCATACACTACTAAGACCTTTCATTTATCTACCTCAAAATACAGTCTTTGTAGAAAAATCAACAAAAAATTAATAACAATTCTGACCAGGAAGGTATATTATTTAATTTAAAACATATAATGATAGTATTTTAAAGAAAGACAATTCTGGGCAATAAGTAAGCAAATAAAAGTAAAAATACATTCAAACCTTACATAAGGCTTCTTAAAGCTATTAGTGACCAAATAATTATACTAGGAAAACAATTAGCATACTTGTTTTCTGAATTTTTATTATCAAAAACTAAATGCACACATACAATATAGATCAGTGGTTCTCAACCTTCCTAATGCCGCGATGTATTTTCATTGTTACAAAGGGGTTGCGACCCACAGGTTGAGAACCACTGCCACAGATGGAAAAGTAGATCACTAGGCAAAGAAAGGAGTGTCTATAAATGGTTATGAAACAACTGGTTATATGGAACCAATAAAATTAAATCCCCACTTCACACCATACACAAAAAATGAGTTCCAAATGGTTAAAGACATGTAATAGCAAATGCTGTAAAACTTCTGGAGGAAAATAAAGACTTTATCTTAACTTTAGTTTTTAAGAGAAAGAAAGACAAACCTAAAAGATAAGACAGATATATTTATCTACATCAAAGTTAACAACTTCTATTCAACAAAATACAAATAGGGCACAAAATTACATACCCATCATTAAGCTAATATCCACAATATTTAAAGAATTTGATTGAATCAGTAAGAAAAAAGGTCAACATAATACAAAAATGAGCAAAAAACATGACCAGGCATTTCATAAAAAGGTAAATATAAAGGATGAATAAACATAGAAAAGATTTTCAACCACATAGTTAGAGATATGCAGATTAACACTTGAATGAGATACTACTTTTCCATCATTTACAAAAACTATAAATTCTGAAATGTTAGAGAGGATGTGAGTCAGTAAGAACTCTTACATATTGTTCAAGGGAGTATTAATTGGTACAATTACTTTGGAAAATAAGATTCTATCTTATGACTTAAAAGAAACTCCGGTACACACACACACACCAAAAGACATGCAGCAATGTTCAGAACAGCAAGATGCTAGGAAATAATTCACAGGTCTGCCAATCGGAGAATGGATAAATAGGGATAAATTTACCCAACAATTTTATAGTACTGAAAAGCAGTGAACTATAATACATGTAACCTCATAGATGAATCTCAGAAACACAGTAAATATGTAAAGAAAGCAAGGCAGAAAATGATAATAGGACATTTTTATAAAGTTCAAAACCAATCAAAACTAAACATATTGTTTAGGAATATTGTATTATTAATTATTAATATGCAAGAATTCTGTATTTAAGGAAAAGCAAGGGAATGATAAGCACAATATTCAGGATAGTGATTTTTCTCTGGGGAAAGGTGAGGAATGGATAAAGGAGAAAGTACACAGGTAGATGCAGTGACCTTGGTAATGTTCTGGCTCTTAAGTTAGGCAGTGGGTTAATGAGTGATCAGTTTACTATTATGCTTTGTAAAGGTTATATATTCTTTCATATATATTGTAAAAATTACATGTTAAAAATGAAACAGAAAACTCGGCTCAGTACCCATAGCACAGTGGTTATGGCACCAGCCATGTACACCAAGGGAGCCTGCTTAGAACCTAGCCAGGCCAGCTAAACAACAATGACATCTGCAACAAAAAATAGCCGGGTGTTGTGGCAGGCACCTGTAGTCCCAGTTACTTGGGAGGCTGAGGCAAGAGAATCGCTTAAGCCCAAGAATTTAAGGTTGCTGTGAGCTGTGATGCCACAGCACTCTATCAAGGGTGACATTGTGAGACTCTGTCTCAAAAAAGAAAAACAAAAAACCCAGAAAACTACTTGGCAATATTTACAAGAAATTTTTAAACTGCTGACATGATTTTATTATTTTTTTATTTTTTTAATTAATTATTTTTTATTGAATCATAACTTTGTACATTGATGCATTTATGGGGTTCAGGGTACTGCTTTGATATACAATGTGAAATGTTTTACATTGAACTAAGTAAAACATCCATCACAATTATACTTGCTGACATGACTTAAATTGGTACAAATTTTGAAATATGAGCTTGGCTACTTTCTTTCACCTATTTCTCTAAACCCTGCCACCCAACTAATAATACATGTTACATATACAATATTTATCTATATGGAACTATCATTACTCTTCATTCATTTCTGTAAAATAGCAGCTCTATACTTGTAAAAATTCCCTTTATGTTATGCAAATACATAGAAATATTAAGAAAAATATTATGTTTTTATTAGGAAAACTCTATTTCTCAATCATGAGACACTTAAAACACAGCTCTGGTTAAGTTTAATCACTTTTCTAGTCTGTGAAATGTGTCCTCATAGGATTAGACATTGTACACCATTATTTGAAAAACAATTATAATTAATAGTAATCATATACTCCCTCAGAGCTCTTTCTTTTTGGGGCATGGGGGGAAACAGAGTCTTACTCTGTTGCCCTGGATAGAATGCCATAGCACCATAGCTCATAAGAGGATGAGCTTAAGCGATCCTCTTGCATAGCCTCCCGAGTATCTGGAGTACAGGCATGTGCCACCATGCCTGGCTAGTTTTTTCTACTTTTAGTTCCTGCTCAGGCTGGTCTCGAACTCCTGAGCTCAATCAATCCACCTGCCTCAGCCTCCCACAGTGCTAGGATTAGAGGGGGGAGCCACCACACCTAGCCCTCTCAGAGCTCTTTCATTCATAAGTGGAAGACAACACCAACATTTTAGGTTCTAGGGTATATTCTAGTTGTTTGTCATCAATCATACTTAATATAAATTAAATGTAATACAAATTGTATGGCTTGAGCTACCTATAATGAAATGAACCAACTTGATTTTTGTTTCTATTTTCTTACTTTTAGCTAAGTCTCAAACTACTCATTATGCCTGCTAGAAAATACTGAATAAAAAATAGCAAAAATAAACATATAAATAAATAGCTAAATAGTCACATTAGCATCTTCACTTATACTCAATAATTAGATTTGCCCATATTTTAATGTTAATTTACCTTTTTGAGAGGAAGAGTTTGAATCCATTCCATGGAGTTCACATCAAAGATATCTACTGCATTTTCACTATACACCGAGAGGTACGGCGCATTGTAACCTAGGAAAAGGGACGGTGGGAATGACTTTTTAACTCTTAAACTCAAAACATTTTGAAAGGTCTATGTTAAATAACTGTAGAGTGAAATACCACCGAAATTCTACTGTTAACATATAATAGTACATCAAAACATTTTTGAAGTAAACAGAACATAAATCATAAATGAAGGACTGATATACCATGGTTCAGATTATATAGTCACTGTTATACCGAAGAATTCTGTTAACACTTGGGGTGTAATATTTCCTTGCTAAATACTAGTTCCATAAAGGAATTTCACTACATTTTAAAGTATCTGATTCCTAAAGTATAAGCTACTGGCAGTGAAGCAAACTTAGAAAGCAGAGAAATCTTCAGGAAAGTGTTCTAGCACCAGTTAAGAATGTATAATAAAGCACCTTAGTTACATGAATAGGGGAGATGCTCTTGTTGAAAGAATGTGTATCAATACATGGTGACACAAGCAAAGAGAAATTAAACAATATTCCTAAACTAAGGTTGCGGAACTGAATCACCGGCAGAGCTACACATACAAGTCAGACATCCCAACTCCTACTCTACATTGTAAGTGATACTCTGAATTGTTATCGACTTGGTTACAAAATAGCATGTATTCTACATATGATGTCAGGGATAAGGATATATATTTCATAAGAAACAAAACATTAAAAATAGTTAAATCCGAGTGGACAGATAGAGGTATTTTTCTTTCCTTAAAAATCTAGCCATTTTCTACTTCTTCTGTTATAAGCATGTATTGCCCTCCTAAACTTCCTTCCACGGACCCTTTAAACTTGACTGGACCTATACCCATCATTTCTCCTCCTCTCTTGTATAATGGAAGGAATTTCACTTCTCCTGCCCCCAGTAATCCTTCTCCTATGTATGAATTTCATCCTTTCCAGGCTTCTTGGGGATCTTACTATTTCCTATATTTCTCATATTGTCAGCCTTTTCCTAGTAGTTTCTTAGCAGTTTTTTTCCCTCCAGCATTTAAAGATGCTGAAGTATTTTCCATTAAAATCAAAACAGCGTGGATTAGATACCCTCCCATGCACTTCTATAGAACCCTGTACTTCTGCTATCAGCACTTGTATTCTTTTTCTTTTTTTGAGACAGAGTCTCCCTATGTCGCCCTTAGTAGAGTGCTGTAGCATCACAGCTCACAGAAACCTCAAACTCCTGGGCTCAAGTAATTCTCTTGCCTCAAACTCCCAAGTAGCTGGGACTACAGGCACCCGCCACAACGCCTGGCTTTTTGTTGTAGTTGTCATTGTTGTTTAGCTGGCCTGGGGCCAGGTTTGAACCTACCAGTCTCGTGTATGTGGCAGGCGCCGTAACCACCATGCTGTGGGCGCTGAGCCTATCACCCTTGTATTCTACTGCAACTACTTGTTTTATCATGAGACACTTCTGCAGCATTCTATGCTCTGTGAGGGTAAGACTACATCTAATTCATTGCTACATCTCATATAGTGCAATGCCATAGATCCAATAATAATTAAATTCTTCAATAATAAAAGTATTCAATAATTTATTAGTGTCTTAGGAGTGAAATAAGCAATTTAAAATACCTACTTATCTAGATAAAAATGTGAATCTGAATAACACATCTTATAGATGCTAATCCTAGCTGTATATAATTGATGAAATCATTCACTTAGTAACGAATTTTGTGAAGTAAGTCCTATGAGCTATTGATGCTTACAAGCACTATATTTTGGGGGACAATAAGGTAATTTAGGGTTATTTCAAAACACGACATGGGATAATTCATCTTGGTAAAATATCCACAGAAAGATTAGTTTTAATCATGCATGTTGATTCTGTTTATCCAGGCCTAACTACACATGGTTTCTATATAACATACTTAATACTTAGAAGAAAACTTAAAGATGACTGAAGTAATCTGTTGTTAACAATGGCAACATTTAGGAGCTGCAATGGAAGAAAGAAGAAAGAAAAGAGACATAAAGATAAGACAGTGATAAGAAAATCTTACAACAAGAGGAAGGATTTGCTGGCCACATCAATTCCTGTTGTCTAGATCTTCGGCCCTGGCAGTCAGTATATATTCCAATGCTGTTAAAACACAGCAGATATTCTTTACTGGAGATCTCAACTGCACAGATAGCATCCATTGGTTGATGTCCAATAAATGATAGTGTATGGTCATTTGAATGGAGCATACTGCACGGACTTCCTTCTCCATTCAAGGGGTATCTTAGAAATCCTGATTGGAATCCCACACAGAGTTGTTCACTGAAGATTGCCATCCACTGGACATTATATGGAACTTGGATTTCCTTAAATTTTCTGTGACGGGTCTTGCTCTGAAATAGTTCGTAACAGATGACCTGCCTTTTCATAGCCACACAGAGGCATGTGAGAGCTCCATGGTGCACCTTTCCAGAAGTTATGGTCTGACACCCCTTAGTTTCTGCCAGCTTATAGAAATCAGTCTCTCGCCCATCCAAAGCTGACATAGGAAAAAGTCGTACATGACGATTTCGTCCTGAGATCACAGCAACAAGCTGATCATTTGGAATTAGTTCGATCTGATGAATCTTCTTATTGTCACCAACTCTAATAATTTCTACATAGAGAAACAATAAATCAAATGCAAAATAGTTTTCTTTATTAATCATATCCCAATTATACCAAAAGGATATAAACAGACTTGTGAAATAATCCAGATGCACACACAGAATAAGAGATCAGAAATTACAGAGAAAAAGGAAGATAATCAAACCTATTATAATTTAGCTCACCTAATGTAGGAATTAAGTTTAGCACTGAGATTTCTCATAGCCAAGGCAAAGAGTTCTTGTGTAAAAGTATGTCAAATCTTCAAGAAAAATATTTTTATAGGTACTTACTGCTAGGGAACTTTGCCAAGGGGTCCATATTTTTAAAAGCTGAGTAACTCACACTTCTCTGAAGGTATTTCTATGGGTAACAAACTAACAACATTTAAACGCATTGTTTTCTCATTATCTTGCCTGATATAAAGATAAAACTTCGAATACTGTATTCATTCGTGAATACCAAATTGGATTGGTTTCTCTCTATTTAAGCAGCTTTTACTTTCTCCCCCGAAATTGTGTTGTGCTGAACACACACACTTTAATAGTTATTACTTTTTAATAGTACTAATAGAAAAACAAACTCAAGTTGTATTTTCTTCTTATGTACCGTCTTTAGTTAAATAGCAGAACTGTTAAATAAAATGACACAAGAAAGATAGTACACACTTAAAGTTTTAGAACTCAGTGAGATTACAGAAATTAAAAAATAATCTTTTAACTTGTAAGGATCAAATTAGGTCTGGGAAATTTCAGTTATAGAATACATAAGAGCAAATCTTGCCCCTTTTAGAATTTAGAATCTAGAGTTAAGAATTTCTGACAAGCTGGGTATGGTGGCTCACACCTGTCACCCTAGCACTTTGGGAGGCTGAGGTAGGTGGATTGCTTGAACTTAGAAATTCGAGAACAGCCTGAGCAAGAGTGAGACCCTGTCTCTACTAAAAATAGAAAAACTAGCCAGGCATCAAAGCCAGTGCTTGTAGTCCCAGCTACTTAGAAGGCTGAGGCAAGAATGAGCCCAAGAGTTTGAAGTTCTTATAAGCTATAATGGTGCCACAGCACTGTACCCAGGGAACAGAGTAAGAAAAAAAGAATTTTCTTACCATCTTTGGTGACATGGATAACGAATAACCCTTCTTCATTTCCCAAAGCTATCCTTTCATGATCTATGTGAGACACAAATATGAAATGTTTTTATTATGAAAAGCCATGTAAAGCTAATAGAATAAACTAGATAATAATATTTGGTTGACAAAAATGAAAATAAATTAAAAAATCCAAATATAGCAATAATTTATACTATTTAAATTTCATTTTACATTACAGTAGTAAATATCTCAGTTTTTAAAAATAACATAATTTAAAAATCTATAACCTATGAAAAGAAGTAAATATTTATTCAAGAAATGATTAAAAAAAAAAAGGAAAAGAAAAACCTAGTTTGTTAGTGCCTTGGGTACAGATCCATTTCTTATTTTGGGAAAGGGATTTGCATCGACTCATTAAACTTTTTGGTGTTTACTGAAAAGTAACAAAAGAATTGGATATGTATGTAAGAATACAACAAAAATGTAAACCTCCAGGCATAGAAGGTGCGTCATTTGTTAAGGGCATTCTTTGTTACATATTCCATCTTTTTTAAATTCCCAATAACTTTAGCAAGGTAAGTAGTATTTACATTTTACATGTTAAACTTAAGCTCTAAGAAATAAACTTGTTCTAAGTCACACAAGCAACAAATAGATTAGTAGCCTTATCTTTCGTACTATTACTTTTCCAGAAGAAAATGTACTTAGTAAGGGTACTTACTCCTATAAAGCTCTAATAAAGGATTCATTCATGTAATAAACATTTACTTAGCATTTGAGTTATAACACACAGTGTGGTGGGCATCAGAGATTTCTAGACGAAAGCCAGTCCCTATTTACAAGGTAGATTAGTAAACACTTACAATATGATAAATGTTTGAAATTCATACCTATGATTGCAGCTGCCTGGGTTGTTTTAATGAGGGGTAGAGTGCTGTCATAAGCCTCTTTGGGAACATAGACTGAGCGGTCTCTGAACTTGTTTTTCTTCAAAATCTTGTGTAATTCACTCAGAACTCCTACCCACTTACTCCTCTCATTCTCACTATCTGCTAGCATCAGGATCGAGCATTTGTTATTAGAAGCTGAGAGCTGGGAAGCTGTGACCTAGAACAATTTAATCAAATTCATGATATTAGAAAACAGACACCCTTTAAGCTACTTTCATGATTATGCTAGCTTGCTGAGCACTCATCAATAAAACGAACACTCATTAAATGATACCTTTAAAGGAGTTGAGCTAGCACTCGAACCCGAATAACTAGTTTTAGCACTAGAACACAAGACAAAGCAAAGGTGACATATATCATTCAAAATGTTAGTATCATTTTCATTTTCCTTGCTATAAAAGTGAGTACACTATCAGTAAAAATGCATCACACATACTCACGTAAGAATAACAGCTGACATTATTGAGTGACTGAGCACTGGAGAGCTCTAAGCACCTTATAACTCATTTAACCCTGTTAACGCCTTTATGAGATAGTATTGTCATTACTTCCTTTTATTGTACATAGGAAAAAACTGTGAGACAGAGAAATTAAATAATTTCTCCCAGTAGTCTAGGGTCCTGTGTCTTTGCTCTTAAGCACTATACCATACTGACTTTCAACTTGTTTTGAAAAGTCAGAAGTACTCAGAAATACTTACATTTTCTGTTATGTTATAACAGTAACTCCCCTTATCACTATAGAAGATTAGATCACTTGAATTACCATTTAAATGAAGGCTCATTATACAAAGAGCATTCACGATAAGAACAGTTTTAAATTTTATATATGTGGGGTCCTTATTAAAAGTAATAGATACAGAGGCCTCCATAGGCTCCTTTGGTGACTGGGAGGAGAGTAAATAGGTGTCAGTCTGAGAACTGAGGCAACCTTCCATAGATATTAGATTCACTGGAAAATACAAAGCAGAGAGGCGCAATAGGGCAGTAGTAATTTAAAAATTTTTTTTCACCTCTACTGTCTTAATTCACCAACTCAAGATGGCATTGTCATTAGCCTGTCCCTATGGAATTCCATTCTTCTTATTAAGAGGTGAAGTCTATTTCCCCTTCCCTTAAAGCAGGGCTAAACCTCATGCCTTTCTTTGATCAACATAAGGCAGAAGGGTTATTATGCCTTTTGGGGCTCAGTCCTCAAAAGGTCTGGAAACGTCTTTTGCTCTTTTAGAAGTCAGCCACGGAGAGCTCAGCCAGACCACCTAATGATTAGACACTACATGGAAAGAGTCCACAGAGGAAGGAACTGAGATCACTCCCGCTAACAACCAATACTGGGACCCCAGAGTTAAGGTCATTCAAATGTTCTGGCCCCAAATGAGGTGGATGCAGCCAACCCCATATGAACTGTGCAGCTGATCCACAGAATAGTGAAAAATAATAAGTTGTTGTTGGTTTAAGCTACTAAGTTTTGGTGTGGTTGTTACTAAAACACTTTTTTTTTTAATTTTTAAAGAGAGAAACTTTTACTTTTAAAAAACTTGAGAAACCTCACATATCCAATTTTCCATGTGGCAATATTTATTTATAAGTTGAACTAGGACCCAAAAATATTGCCTACAGAACATATTTTAGAAGCCATATATTCATGCTTACTACTAATCTTTTACTAATTTAAAGACTTACTTAGCCCCAATTTTCTATACATTCAAGTACTGGATAACATGAAAAGTGGATAATATTAATATTAAATACAAAATATGGTTCTACTCATATTAAGTTTATGATTTAGATAAGAAAGGCAAAACATACTTACTAAAAAATAATTCAGTGATCAAATGATTGCACACACTTACTCTGAATATACAGGGTATATCTTTTCGACTTGCATGAATAACATCAGAAGCTAACACTGAACTCACAGAAAATTCTTCATCCCTGAATAAAAAGTGAAACATTAAAAGTTAGTAATATGCAGCTACATCTGTGTAGTTGGAATGTGTATCTAAATAACACGTATGAAGCAATCTGCAAAGGTTTTTTTTGAGACAGAGTCTCACTACGTCACCCTGGATAGAGTGCTGTGGTGTCACAACTCACAGCAACCTCAAACTCTTGGACTTAAGCCAGGGGTCCTCAAACTTTTTAAACAGGGGGCCAGTTCACTGTCCCTCAGACCATTAGAAGGCTGGACTCTGGGCCCCAGGATGAGTCGGATGCCAAGCAAGACAGGCAACTGTGGCAAAAACACCTGGCAGGCCAGATAAATGTCCTCGACTGGCTGCATGTGGCCTGCAGGCCATAGTTTGAGGACACCTGGAGCGATTCTCTTGCCTCAACCTCTGAAGTAGCTGGGACTACAGTCACCCACCACAATGCCCGGGTATCTTTTGGTTGTAATTGTCATTGCTCTTTGGCAGGCCCAGGCTGGATTTGAACCTGCCAGCTCCGGTGTACGTGGGCTGGTACCCTATCCGCTGAGCTACAGGTGCTGAGCCAGCAATCTGCCAAGGTTAACTGCACAAACACTTGAATTGAAGTGAATTAGTTAATTAATTAATTTTTTTTTTTGAGACAGAGTCTCAGTTAGTTGCCCTGGGGTCGAGTGCCATAGCATCATAGCTCACAGCAACCTCAAACCCTTGGGCTCAAGTGATCCTCTTGCCTCAGCCTCTCAAGTAGCTGGGACTATAGGCTCCTGCCACAAGGCCCAGCTATATATATTTTTTTAAGAGATGGGGTCTCACTCTTGCTTAGGCTGGTCTTGAACTCCTGAGCTCAAGCAATCTGCCAGCCTTGGCTTCTCAGAATGCTGGGATTACAGGCATAAACCACCATGCCTGGCCTCAACTTGAATTTTTTAAAAAATCTAATTTCCAGGAAGACTTCTGATTTGGGCCTTTCCCTTTGCCAGAAGGTCTGGTGCTTTTTCACTCCTTCTGTATTCCTTTCTGTCTCTTTTTCACTCCTTCTGTATTCCTAGTTGTCTAATAAAATCCTATTGTACCACTGGAAAAAATATTTAATTTCTCCCTCATTGCAATTAATAGTGCCAAAAGTAATTTATCAAGAATAACAGTGGTGCATTATATAAGAGCTAGAAATAATTTCCAGGCTTACCCAAAGTCATAAGGACAGTATACATGAAGAACTGGGATTTGAACTCTGATAGATCTCCAGAGGTTCAAGTGCCTCTCATAATAAGTCTTAAATGCCCTCAACCCAGCTCATCTGACATACATTGTTTCTTCAACCACTAAAACAGATTTCCTCCATAATATTTTTTGTGATTTCCTTAGTTTTGTTATTGATACCATTATTCCCTTGGTCTTCAAGGCTTGACGCCCTCGTCCTCTTTTTGACTCCTCCTGCTATCTTAATTATTAGCAGGTTCTGTCAGATTTTCTTTGCTGATATTTCTTACACCTATCCCATCATATTCTATACTTCTGGGGAAAGATAACGTGTTTGAGATGCTGGTGTAAAATGCCAGCGTGAGGCATAGCTGGAAACTGTGGTTCTGAATTAGAGATACACAGTTGGGAGTCATCAATGCAGAGGTGATGGCTGAAGCTATGGGAGTAAATGATACCACTCAGGGGCAGTGCCTGGAGTCAGGAGAAGAGGGAAACGGGAGCACTCCAGGGAAGAGGGGAAGGAACTTAAAAATGAGACCAGAAACGTTCATAAGATGTACTTATTGAATCATTATGTCTTCAAAGAGCTCGTCTGATTGAGATTTTTATTTTCTTTCCTCACATTAGAATTACATCTAAGCCTTTAGGAGACATACCTCACACATTAGGCCTCCATTACCCAGTAATCTTTAAACTGGTCTTCTGAACTCAAACACCAGCTTCTTTTCCTTGACTCCTCACTCCAAACACTCAACAAACATACCAACCTGTTTTATAACTACACTTTGTTTCCTATTTTTAATTATGTTACCATATCAATATTAGGAAATTAGATAATTAATATAAAATTACATTTAAATAAACAATGCCAATATAATTTTTTAAAAGTCAGAAAAATGTTAATTCCTACGCTGTAATGATAGAAATATTTTAAGCTTCGAAAGCTTACCTCATGTCAATCACTTGACTAATGACAACACTGGGCTGAGATGCTTTGCCTTCAGCGATGTCGTACAGAAAGAGCTTGAAGTCACAAACTACAGCCAGTGCTCTTTGCCATCCTTTCTTCACTCCAGCTGGTTTAGGAATCTTAGTTTTGTTTTAGACAGGCAAACAAACAAACAAGCACAACTCAAATGAGAATGACCATAGGGCTCCTTTAATAACATATGTAAGTGCATGGTGAAACTTTAAGGATAATGTACAATCTCGTCAGTCTGCAACTTCGGTTGGTGAAGTAGCAGATGGGGCCCATGAACATAAGAGAAAACATGAGCGCACACTCTTCAAACACTGAATGACTTTTATTCTCAAAAATTTTTAGGGGACACCACTTTAACTTTCACGTAATTTATTAAACGTTTTCATTTTAAAAATAGCATAATTAAATTTGGTAATAAAATGAAATTCAGCTTATATTGTAAATATTATCTAAGATAACAAGATTATACCTTGATAATATCTCTTAATTCATAACCGCATGCTACCTCTCTGGCAAGAACAGTTGCCAAAGTTTCCTTTATAGAGATTATAACATTGGTTCATCATGAGATCGGTTCATCTCAATACAGAAAAGTTTGAGACATTTTAGAATTTCCAAGTAACAGGTTTTTGCTTTCAAATCATTACTCTAGATGAAATAAAGTTATTAGATGAATTTTATTCATTTAATTTTTTACGAAGTGACATGTTTTCAAGGTGACTGCATTTTAATTCATTAATAAACCTGAAGAGATTAATCTAAACGTAATTTAGTCATACTTACTCGGACATGACCTTCATATGCTGTTCCTATTCCTTTCTGTGGATCTATACCCAGAGGACCTTTTGTCTGTTCAGGAGGAACTGGACAAGCAGTTGGAGCTTTGTTTACACAAGTTATATGACATGAGAATCCACAGACTTATGGAGAGAAAAAAAGAAATGTTTGGTAAAAATTCATTTTAGCAAAAGAAAATTCACTGAGAACTCACTGCATGCAATGTGTTGTTATATGAAATCTTTGATCTTATTTTAAATAATCATTTCGTTATTCAGGGAGCTTATTCAATTGTTTAATCAATAAGAATTTCAATGATAATAGTAACTTTTTTATTACATGTAATGCTATTATTCTGGGTCAACACTAGTGATCTAAAGAAGAAGCAATCAGACAGAAAAAACATGACTTTGTGAATAAGAGGACTGACTTAAACTTAGAATTTCTAAGAAAGTGGTTTCTTTTTTTTTTTTTTTTGCAGTTTTTGGCTGGGGCTGGGTTTGACCCTGCCACCTCCGGTATATGGGGTTGGTGCCCTACTCCTTTGAGCCACCGGGGCCGCCCAGAAAGTGGTTTCTGAAGTTCTTTCCAGCTCTTTCTTCCACTGCAACTTGGTATCAGCCCTGAAATTGCTACTGCAAGGGTCAGTAATGGACATTAAGCTACCTAAAATCTTTGCTAAATTTGATAAACTCTACCAATTCTTCTTGAAAATGAAATTTTATTTTATTTATTTATTTTTTGAGACAGGGCCTCAAGCTATCCCCTGGGATAGAGTGTCATGGCATCACAGTTGACAGCAACCTCCAACTCCTGGGCTCAAGCGAGTCTCCTGCCTCAGCCTCCCAAGTAGCTGGGACCACAGGTGCCTGCCACAACGCCTGGCTATTTTTTGGTTGCAGCCGTCATTATTGTTTTGGCAGGCCTGGGCTGGATTCGAACCTGCCACCTTAGGTGTTTGTGGCTGGCACCTTAGCCACTTGAGCTACAGGTGCCAAGCTAAAAATGGAATTTTCAATGATTAAAAAGATGCAAATTATGGGTAAATTTTAGGAATTATTAATGTTATTATGTATAATTAAACTACTATTAAGATAATAATAAAGAACTCTATTAATTGTTTTTAAATTTCCTCCAGCAATCTATAAGATGGACAGTTACTCTCCCTTTGTTACATACGACTAGCATAGGGTCACAGCACCCATAAGAGGCAAGACTGGAATTCAAACCCCGGCAGTCTGGTTTAGACTTGCGTACCTAACTACTAACAATACTTATTGCCATGATATCTGTATTTGACACTTACATGGTGAACCTGAGATTCTAAGACAAGACGATTAATAAAAATAAACTTTCAAGTTTTACTGAGACTTGGTTGGGTGAGAATTAAAAGTGAAAATAAATTTAAGATAAACAAGCTTGTTGGGACAGGTTATAGACTAAGATTATCCATGTAAACAACTCCTGCTCTAAAGGTGGATCCTACAGAACGCTGAGGAACAAACAAGAGAGGAACTAAGATGATATTAATGTAGAAATATACACACTCAGGGGAAACGGATGTTACTGTTGTGTATTATGAAGCCAAAACAAAGATGAGATGGCCTAGTATTAACTGTTTAAAACTACCCAATGTCTCAATTCATTTATTTTCTGATTTACTTTTAAGTGGATTATTTAACAAGTTATTTGCTTTAATAACAGGCAAACATCTCTTCAAAGGACAGTGGAAATAACAAAATAAGTATCCTATACTGGATCTCATTCTAATCAATCAGAAAGAAATAAAAATGACAGCAATCTTTAGAAGCTGTAACCATATTATTATAAATTTACAAAAGCCTGCCAGTCAAATGCTGGGTCCCCTGTATGTCTCAACAGTTTCCTAAGACAGGCTTCAAAGGACCTGAAGAAAAGATAGGAATGGTTTTTTGGCATAAGACTCTAGAAGGGGCAGTAGCCATAGCTCAGTGGGTAGGGTGCTGGCCACATACACCAAGGCTGGAGGGTTTGAACCCAGCCCGGCCAGCTAAAACGACGACAACTGGAACAAAAATAAAAAAAGCTGGGTGTTGTGGTGGGTGCCTGTAGTCCCAGCTACTTGGGAGGCTAAGGTAAGAGAATTGCTTAAGCCCAAGAGATTGAGGTTGCTGTGAGCTGTGACACCAGTGCACTCTACCAAGGGCAACATAGCAAGACTCTGTCTCATTAATTAAAAAAAAAAAAAAAGAAGAAGAATCTAGAAGGCAGAGAGTCTGGGGGAGATCTCCAAAATTCCTACTATGAAATTGGCAATAATTGTGATGCATAAAAAATAACAAAGGACCAAAAGTGAGAGAGCTGCCTGGGGTTCTTTCTGATAAACAGATTTTTCAAATGAGATGAAACTTGAAAACTAACGATTTCTCCTTTGGCTTCAGTCAGACCTTCCTGGTTGTTGAGATGGGTGATTCCGTCACACATTTTTTGGTTATCTTTTCCTTCTGCCTTCCCTTAAGCCTTGTCATCTTGCTCTCTCTTCAATCTACATGTGCTTCCTGGGTAGTGCTGCTCATATTTATGACTTAATATATTAACAAATCTCAAATTTCTACTTTTTAACCTTGAACATTTTCTTTGGCTCTAAGTCCACTTACTAATAGACTAGTTAAAATAATGTAACTTGGTTCTTTCACTTTAGTTGTGAACTAACCAAACATAAAGTGCACTGCCTTAAGGTGCTATTAATTATCCCCTTAACTCTAAGTAGCCAAGACATCCTAGCTAGGGTATATTATAAAGGGGACAAATGTATCTGATAGGGACTGACTGCATTCCTTCAAGTCCCTTTCAACCCTAGGAGTGGAAGAGCAGTACTGGGAATGGAAACCAGTATTAGAATCTGAATTAGCAAGTATCTTCTTGTCTTTTGAACAAGATAAACCAGCAAATCATATATAAAGTGATATGGCAGTAATAAGTATCATTTGATTTTTAAAAAAGTACATTTCCCAAAAACTAACAAATTAATAACATCTATCATTATTTCCATTTCCATTTTAGAGGTCCTAGGAAAAATGAAGAGGTGACAAAACAAATATACATACTTTGTTTTCTGTTCAAATGACCCCCTTCTCCCTCAACTCTCAGAATATGACCTCCATAAGGGCAGGATCTTTGTCTTTCCCCTATTCTACTACTATATTCCAGTGCCTAGAAGCTCAGAGAGGCATTCCTAAATATCAAAGAATGGGTAGACATTTAATATTTCTTACAAGTTACCACACTGCCTACTTTTTTTTTTTGAGACAGAGTCTCAAGTTGTCATCCTGGATAGAGTGCTGTGATGTCACAGCTCCTAACAACCTCAAAAACTCTTGGGCTTAAGTGATTCTCTTGCCTCAGCCTCCCAAGTAGCTGGGACTACAGGTGCCCACTCCACTGCCGGGCTATTTTTTGGTTATAGTTGTCATTGTTGTTTTAGCTGACCTGGGCTGGGTTCCAACCCACCAGCCTTGGTGCATGTGGCCAGCGCCCCACCAATGGAGCTACGGGTGCTGCCCACACTACCTACTTTTTAAAATTTTTTCTAATATATTAAGAAAAGTTAAAATTAATAGATTCAAGGATAACTTCCATCATATAGGTTAACAGATTTTTTTTTGATAACAAATGCATCTGAGTAATGAAACAAAGATGACTAAAACGTTTAAATGTATCTCTCCTAAAAAATGTTTCTAGGGAACACCTCTCTGTCTAGTTTCTCTAACATTCCATGTGCTTAGTTTATTGTTTTTAATTCTCTTATACAAATAAAAGCAAATTATTAAGCAAACAAATGAACAAACATTTATGTGCCTTTTAAAGAGAATAAAGTTATTTGATTACAATTTTGATAGTAAATGTTAGGATTCTTCAGTTACATTTTCTTTCCATTTTGTTCTTACCTTCACACGAACAGCCCTGTCTCATCAAACCCACCATCAAAGAGGTACACTGATGACATTTTGCAGGAGTAGTAAAAGATTTTACGAAAAACTGGTGAGTCTTGCGCTGCAAAACAAATTGATAAAGCATACACATGGATTATTCCAATGATTTCCATGAGCCCCTATACCTCACACTATCTTCTAGAATGTTTTTAAATAAAGTTTAGTGAATTCTTTCAATTTCTCATCACATCTTATAGATTATGCTCTTTAAATATTTTTAGGTAATATTGAGCTGGAATAAACTGACATAATATAAGAAGTTAAATGATAATAAATTGCTCCTAAATGCTATTTGGAAAGAATATAAGATAAACTGTAGCTTATTTTTAGTTTACAAATCTTGGCTTCAGGATTTTTAAAAATTCTCCAAATTTTTCTTCAGCAAAAAATTAAGTGAAACTTTGCATATATATTGTATATGTATACCTATACAAATAGAGAATTTTAATATGCTTTGTATCTTCTTAGGAAGAACAAAAGGTAATTTAAAATTCTTATTTCTAAGACCATAAATCATGTATTTTCTGGGCCCAAGAACAAATAATATATTTCACAAATCTCCTTCCTTCCATGGAAGAAGGCAGTATTATGCTTGAGCAGATAAAAATGCACACATAAGAAACAGATGGCAGCCTCAAATTTCTTACTAAAAACCCAGTGAAGTTCTCGAAGTCTTGTCTGATTTACATGATGGTAAACCTATGTAGACTTTAATCTCTCTAGAATACTTCTTTCCTCTTTAAATTAACTCGTAAGCATGTTTTAACAATAAATGAATTATAATAAATAATCATTGCTTCATTCTGCTGTGTGAACTTTAGAACAAATTACTTAATTCCTATCTTCCACTTTCCTCAGGTATAAAACAAGATCAATAATAGTATCTACTTCATGGGGTGGTTAAATAAACATTAAAATAAACACAGCCTTTCAAACAGTGCCCAGCACAAAGTAAATATTCAAAAAAGGTTTTCCTTTTTTTTTCTTTTTTCAAGATGGTCTCACTCTTTGCTGGGGGAAGACTGCCGTAGTATCATCAAGGCTCACTGCATCCTCAAACAACTGGGCTCAGGTGTTTCTCCCGCCTCACCCTGCCAAGTAACTGGGACTACAGAAGCATGCTACCACACCTAGCTAATTTTACTATTTTTTTTTTTTTTAAGAGATTGAGTTCTAGCTATGTTGTTCAGGTTAGTGTCAAATTCCTGAGCTCAAATGATCCTCCCAACTTGGCTTCCCAAAGTGCTAGGATAACAGGTGTGAACCTCTGCACCTGGTCCTATTTCCTTATAAAAACAAGTTTGGCTAATTATTTTACTTTTGTGTGTGGGATTGATTTGAACTAGTAAGAACTCTATTCCATAATCCAATAAAATGCAAATACTAATTAAAATAGTTATGAAGTAGTATTTATTTCAGTTGAGACTAATACACAGGGTGTCCCAAAAATGTACACACATTTTAAGAAAGGAAAAAATGTATTAAAATTGTAATACTCAAGTCACATTTGACTTCTGCAATTACAAGAGAGATTCAACAACAAAAAGATGACTTATATTCATCTTTTGTTATCAGTATATGTTGAATATTACCATTTTAATATATATTTTTTCTTTCTTAAAATGTATACTTCTTTTGGCACCTTCTCTATATTAACAGAAAACTAAAGGAAATTTCTGAAGTTTCAAAATAAATTCTGTTCTCAATTGGGATAGGTGATTCATATACCACAAAAGAAGTTATTAACAAAACCAAGAGAAGCAGATTAGCTTCCCACACAGAATGATCTGACTACCTGCATAGTTAGGGAATGGGGTAAGATCCTTTAATTTAGAGAAGTCCAACCTCAAACTTCTATTCTAAAAGTTCCTCAGGATCTTTGGTTAGTTTCAAAGCAGCACTGGGATTTGACTATAAGTAGAACAGTAACTTCTTATTCTGTAATTGCTCTGGTAGCTCCTGAGCATCAACCAAGGTACAGACCTCCTACAGGACTTTACACACGCAGACCTTCTACAGGACTTTACGCACATCATCTCATTTGATGGAAATGATACCCTTGGGGAGAGAGAGGATCATTTCCTTATACAGAGGAAGGAACTTGTTAAAAATCACACATTTTCTCTGTCTCTGTATACTATTTTTAATTTTTGAGAAACTATTAAGAGTAAATTTTCCAGTGCTAACTTTTTAATTATTCAAAATACAGTAATGCAAAAGATATAAAGTTAGTTGACTAACTGGTTCTAGAGGCTTATATTACAATTGGAAGAAAAATTAATCAACTGCTCAAAGCAACTTCATATATTTTTTACCTCATAAAGGAGAACAAGATACATCTGAAACAGCAGCAATAAAACTGTGACTATGACAAATTTAAGAGTAATTCTTCACAATGTTTGATAAATTGCTTGAAAACATATACTGATTATATAATACTTTCTCTCAGACATGTATTAGGATGTTACAACTCTGGGAATGATAGATTAAAAAATAAAACAGGAAGAGAGGTAACTTTAGGTGACCAATCACCCAACTGGTAGGTGCTAGCTGAATTACAGGAATAAGCCTATGTTGTTATGTTTTGATCTGAGACATTATCTGTTCACTTGCTGTTAGGGCAGAGAATTAACACCTTTATACTTATTCCCTCCTCTTCCCTTCATTTTCCCAATATTATGATAGCATAATTTTGTTTTTAATATTTAAGTTATGACTTTTTAAAATCATTAACCACTAATAAGTACACTTTTTTTTTACAATTTTATTTTTATAAAATTAATAGTACCCCGTTTACTTTTCTGTGTCCCTATCACTAAATCATCTCAGACTCTCCAAAAACACTGTAAAATCTCCTTGATTCTATTTATCGCATGGTCAAACACATCATCAAGGAGGTCTTTCAGAAACTGTACCCTTTTCTATAGACCTGGACTCATTGTTGTTGAGCTGGTCTGGGCCAAGTTCGAACCTGCCACCTTCGGTGAATGTGACCAGCACCGTAACAAGTGTGCTACGGGTGCTGAGCCAATTATCCTCATTTTTTGATAAGAAAATAGAAATAAAGAAAAGATAAGTAACTTTTTCAATCTTACACAGTATGTTGTGAATCTGGAATTCCATTCCAATTTAGGTAAGTCTGGCTAGGAATTTACCACCAGGCTGTACTGTCTCTATACTTTCTCCCAAGACAGGACAAATACATTAACATATTCACCTTTCCTATCCTTGTATCCACTTCCATTGTCTTTTTATTTAGATTAGTTCTGGACTGTTGTGAATATACATTTCCTTTTCCTTTGGTATTTGCAGAATGAAGAATCATTGCTTTTATATACCACAGTTAAGTCTTCTAAGGTACCTATTCACACTAGTTTCCTCAAATCTCTCCTACTGCCCTCTTGGCTTTATGTCTCTTCTTGATAAAAAACTTCCTGAGTATTTTCAAAGGTACAGTAAAACTTCTAAGTTTTTATATATTTGAGAATATTTTAAACTTGCTCTTCTATTTAAGTACACCTGGGTTCAAATTAGATTTAACACTTCAAACATATTTCTCAATTGTTTTCTTACATATAATATTGCTGTTGAGAAGCTTGAAATCAATTTGATCTTTGTTCTTCTATACAAATAATTTTCTCTTTCTCTTCGAAAGCTATTTGGATTTTCTCTTGATCTATGATAGGCTTATATTTTACTCTAAGGTTTTTGGGTTTGAGTTTTTCTTATCTATTCTCATTAACACCTAAGGATATCTTCTCTAGAATGAGGCTTTTTGTCTTTAATTTGGGAAAATTTTAAGTTATTTTTCTTTAAATATTTCCCTACTATTTTCTTTTCTTTTGAAAGTCCTCTATACAGATATTAACACTATCTCTGCCATATATCTCAACTGTCATATTTTCCATCTTATCTTCTTCCCGCTATTTTTCTGCTCTGCAATAAATCCATCTGCTTATTCTACTATTAAAGCCATTTATTATTTCAGTAATTATATTTTCATATCAAGTATTCCCAATTTATTTTTCTTCACAACTGCCTTATCCTACACCAGGTTACCTACATTCTTCTTGTTTCTTCAAGGATTTTATTGTATTTGTTTTAAATTCAAGTTCTATCTGACCTCAAAACTTTGCTTTATCTGGGCACAAGTTAATTAGTTTTTCCTTTTTTAAACATTTTTTGCATACTTTATCTGCTTTTCAGATCCATTGACCTTTCTCATTCTGTGGATGACTCAAGGATTATGTTCTGGAGAAGCAGCTCTTTTCAGTTTTCCAGTTTCTGAAATTCTTTGACAGGAAACTGTAGATAAGAACTTAATCTCTGTGTTCCACCAATATGTCTTAATAATATGTTAGTCATATTCATGTGAAATAGAACAGGAAAAACAGAATCCACATTTCTCTGTCTCAGTGGTTTATGTCCTTAATCTCAATTTATGCAAGGATGCATACATTTATGCTAGGTTTACACCCTTAATCTCAATAGAGAATACAGAGTAGTGCTCAATATAGAGTAAGGAGTAGTGCTTAGCAGAATTTAAGAAAACTAGAAAGAAAAATATTTGTAAACTTCTCTTTCTATTTTTCTCAGTGGTGATTACATCCATTCATATAGAATTTACTTTCCTTCCAAGCTTTTATGTTGAAACTTTGAAGAAAACAGCATCAAAAAATCACATCTAACACACAAAACAGAAGAAATCCACTCTTTTTAAAAAAAATACACTATAACTAGCTTGAGTACCTTGGGTGGAAAGCCAGTTGAACCAGGACATCCCTTTTTCTTTAAAGTTGGTGTGTGAACTGGAAGTGGAGTTGAGTCTACAATCTGAACCCAGGGGCAAAAAAGGAAATAAATGTCATGAAACATTCTATCTATTTCAAATATAACTCAAAAGATACCAAAGTAAATGAAAGCAAACAAAACAATAAGGCAAAAACTTCTACTAATAAAAAAACTCAATAAAACTAAAATTCTCAGCGTTAAAAATTTAAATTTCTGCCTACAAATCTATAAATGAAACACTTGTTCACTTACTGAGTATTTAAGTTTGTAAATTTACTGAATAAAAATAAATAATTTGGAAAAGAACATTTATAGAAAAAAAGTCATAGCATGTAGCCTACATAAAAATGAGGATATTGATTTTCACACTCTTGAATTTTCTGTATTAATTCTGAAAAGTATCTGAAAGAGTTTTTAAGATTTATAGTAAAAATTGAAGATTCTTTTAACTATTCAACTTCCAAATATAGAACATATATTTCATATACTAATACAGCTCTGTGAATTTGAATGCACAGATATAAAGATCGAGGTTAGTGGATTTTTTGTGCAGAAATTAATTTCCAAAGAAAGGAGTTAGACTATTTAATATCTTTTGGAATTTTGAACTTAATACAAATTTAGTTAAAAACAATTTATTAGTTAGCTATGTATTAAATAAAATATAGTATCCTTTCATGAGGTATTATTGTATGATTTTTCTTCAAATGAAAGGAACTAGAGATTTTATTGGATATTACTGGGGGTCCAAAAGAGCCATTCCTTAATTAGCAAAATATAAGAGAAGACATAAAGAATAACTGCCTTTTAGGATGCCAAGCAAGAAAATAAGAGGAAAAAGGTAGCCCTTATGTAAGATTAAAGAATAAAGTATTCAGAGAAAACTAGATGATCTCACTTTGCCTTTTTTACTTTATCACCTCTAAAATTAAATATTTTATATGTATTATAGCCTTAAAATGAAATTCAGTTGAGCTTCTCAGTGTTTTCTATTTGTGAGTCTAGTTCTAATTTAAATACTATTAATTTGAAAAAGATTGAAAAAATTTTACAATCAATTTACAATTTAACATTTGAAAAGATAAATTTAAATGATAAAAGAACAATGAAGATCTATATTAAAGTTAATAAAAATAATAGGTAACAAAATTGTCATTAGAATTTACATGGGAAGTCCAAGAGAAGTTAAAAGAATTAAAAAGAGTCACAGAGGCGCTGGATACAAGATCAACAGAGTTTATGAAGACTGGCAAGGCCTAATAAGAAAAATTTACTTTGAAAGGATCCTACTTAACCATTACAACAAAAGATTTAAGTGCCTAGGAACAAATTTAATAAGCAATATGGAGGACACTGAAAATGATAAAACTTTACCAAAGAATGTAAAGAATAACTAATATGTATACCATGGTGATAGATGGAAATACCCAATATCATGAAGATGACATCCTCCTCAAATAAATCTATAAATTCAATGCAATTCCAATCAAAAGCCTTACAAGGAACTTGATATGCTAATCCTAAACGTAGTATGAAAAAGTAAAGGGTTAAGAAAAATGGATGGAGAATAAGGTAGGTGGGGATGGCTCACCATACCAGGGATCAGGAATTATTTTACAACGATAGCCATTAAGACAATTCCATGTCAGTACAAGAACAACAAAAAGAACAATGAAAGAGAATAGAGAACCCCTAAGCAGTCCCAAACATAGAAAGCAGAGACAGCATTACCCATCAACAGGGGAAATATAGGAGAGTCAGTTGTTTAAATGGAAAAAAGAGGTTAGAACTCTCCATTTCCCATTACATAATACATAATAGTAACTTTGAGTTTAATCGCTGCATAGGGAAGAATTGCCTTAAAAAGACACAAAAAGCAGAAGTCATAAAGGAAAAGACTGATAAATCAAAACTTTTGCAAGACAAAATTAATACCAACAATAATACAAAAATAAGCCACAGACTGGGAAAAAAAAATTTGCAATGCATATAGCCAGCAAAGAATTAGTATTCAGAATATATAAAGAACAAAGAACACTTAAATAATAGGAAAAATAATTCAACGGGACAATGGACAAGGGACATGAACAAGCAGATCATCCATCATCAACAAACATAGGAAAGATGCTCAATAACACTAGCAATGCAAGTTAAAACAAAAGTGCCATTTCACATCCGGCAAACTGGCCAAAGTTAGTATCTGATAATACCAAGGGCTGGCAAAGATGTTGGGAAAAGGGAGAACTCTCATACACTCCTGGTGAGAGTCAAAATTGGTCCAACCACTGTGAAAAACAATTTAGCAGGATCTAGTTAAAGTTGAAAATACATATATCACATAACTCAGTAATTCTACTTCTAAGTTTATACGTTAAACTAACTCTGCATGTTTGCAAAAGTAGATCACACTAAGATGTTCACTTCAGCATTGACTATAATAACAAAAAATTAGAAACAAATATCCAGCATAGGAGAATGGATAGCTGTGGTTTGTTCACACAATTTAACATTATGCAGCAGTTATTACGAACTTAATGAACACATATCTGTATGAATAAACCTGAAAAGCATACTTTTGAATGAAAAAAGTTACAGAAGGATACAGGCAACATTTGTGTAAATTTTAAACACCCTATATACCATTTATGGATATAAATAAAATAAACGTGTAAACCAAGGAAGGAAAGATGTGAGCCAGCTTTAGGATAGTTAGATATATCCAGGAGAGTACAGAGGGGAATGGTGTAGGGGAGGCTGTTCCAAATGTTTTTAGATTTTTTTTTTGAATAAAAATCTGAAAAAAAAAAACAAGGCAATATGTTGTTATCTGTTAAATCTGTAGGTGACAGTTACATGGGCATTTATCATATTCTCTACATGCTTAAAATATTTAATCATTAAAATAAAAATATATAAACCCAAAATATCAAGACAATTATAATGAAGAAACCCAAGGGTCTCATTAACTTAGCTCATCTGAAAGAGTCTACCACAGGATTGGAAAAAACAAGTCAGAATCTGACTAAAACTCATTATTTCACTTCAGACAGCTTTTCATATTGAACTATTTGCTTCTGCTAGAATGTTAGACACAGTTCTAGAGATTAAAATATGAAAAATAAAGAGCTCTGGCTGACCTGTGATGCTGAGTAAAGAAATAGAACTGCGCTTTGTGGCAGATGGCATGAACTGAGGTATACTATTCTACCTTGTGGAGGAAATGATCTCTCTTGAGAAAGTGAACCAATTGATTGATATTCAATGTAAACACAACATAGTTTTTCATACTATTAAAAGGCATGACTTATCATAGTTGAATGTCAATTACTGCTTTAGCAGCTGCCAGCAATGACATTTTTTAGCTCTACTTACGATGCATGCATGCATTGTATGGTGGCTTATTAAATTTATTAGAAGAATTAAATTCTGAGAATAGCCCCCATACTGCCACATGCCTACAAAGTTTGTATGTAAGTCCAAAATTCACATAATTCTATCCTCTGTTCTACACAGTTCTCTAATTAAAGATTGCCTTTACATATATAGAGAGTGTATTTCAGGTTGAATATTTGGGGGCAATTTTCTACCTTAGTTTTCTACTTCCATCTATATTATCAATTAAATGTAGTAATTTCCAAGAGACTTGTAACCTATTATGAAATACATCTGACTAAGAGAAGACAGATATCACTTGTTTTTCTCAATTCCCTCTTTCCTGACACAAGTGAAAAGTTAGAAAGCAAGGCTGCTCCAATGAGGCACCTTAACTGGCTCAGCTTCACTAGATGTGGAAGGAGATGTGGACCTTGACTGGATGTAAAACTTGATGCTCGAGTTCCGTACATATGTGTTCTCAACGGGATCAGTCTAGGAAAATAAGTCAGGAAAAACAAAAACCCAAGAAATCACTTTTAAACAATGTGTAGCTCACGATAAATTTCTGTAAGTCATGATCATGACAACATTTCTTAAGAAAGGAGGATGACAAACTTTAACTTGCATATTCCTGTAGGGATGTGTCAACACACAAGAGAATGAGCTTCAATACACATAAGGCTTAAGACAGCAGCGGTGAACCGAAGGCTCCTTCCCAATCTCCACGGTTGACCTTTAACCTGAAGCACTGGTCTCTATTTATATTCCACATAGAACTTTTATCTTCCACAAAATAAGTCACATATGTGAAACACATGCAAAATACTTAATAGAGATATATTCTACAGATAATTTTGTCCTTGACAAGAATCAAATTTCATCTCTTACAAGTCATTTATTGAAGGTAAAAGAAACTAACCTGTCAGTTTTGTGCTGCTCACTACCATAAATCTCCTTTTTATTCTGCAGCAGCAGAAATACCAGCACTTAATTCCAGTTGTACCCTTTTAAGCCAAGTATGTTTGGAAATTAAAAGTGCTCTGGGCTAAATTTTAGCATAAAAGACCTTACAAAGCACACTGTTTTTCAGTTTAGTAATTTTCAGAATTACTAAAATTGAGTTTTTAAAAGGAAAGAATAATTAAGGCAACTTGGAAAGGAAGCTAGAGAACCTGTTTTGAATATGGTGTACAGCAAGAACAATGATTAAAGTAATAATGGACCTTGTACTCAAAACTGGGTAAACAAAATCTCTTTAGAATTCTGGGCTGAATGTTAAATGATTGAGAATAGAAATACCTGGAAAAAGGGTTTCCCTAGAAATTTGCTTTTGAGGTCTATTTTCATCTCGACAGAACTCTAGGCACACAGCTTCAATCTCTAAGGGTACAACTTAGAGATATTTTCTCAACTTAAGGCAATTTTCCCACCTATAATATATATTGTTATTAAATGCATAGAAAACAGTCAACTTCCATTCAACGTGGGAGGGACAGGTCAGGAGGCTGGAGACACTACCGTAGACCTTTACAGGTGCCCAACTGCAACCTCCCAGGGGGGTGGGCATGCACAGGCACTCTAGCAACCCACAAAGCAAGGCCAACACAAACCTTTAATTACTGAATTTTGGAGAAGTGAGAAAAAAGGTCTCAGCGAGGGAATCTAAG